GGCCGGAACGTTAGTAAATACGATCCTTTTCTTATGTGCTATCTGCAAGTTAATTCAATATATATATATATATCCAGGGCATGAAGGCGACGCCAAAAATAAGCCAAGAATGTCCATATATAGCTCTCTGAATAATAGCTCTTAGGTGGTGCTTTTGTGGTGCACGTGTTCTCTCGAAGAACAAACAAAAATATGTTGCGCGTTGAACTTTTTATGCCACATACCAAGAATATGAAAATTAATTTAAGTTTTACGTACTTTACTTATATACAATTCGCCACAGAAATGACGCTACCAGCGTTATTCCCGCTTTACGCTGGTGACTCAGCCGGTATTGTATAATGGTTTTTATGGACAAAGTAAACTGGACAGGCGTATTTTGGCCATCGTGCAAATGCTTCATATTGAAGCTCGTATGGTTAGATGACAATCACATAGGTGGTCGGCACGCTCAGCAGCTATTGCCACCAATCACAACAGTGAAAAACAAAAACCATTACCAGCGTAGTGTCTAAAGAACTATCCTGTTAAGCAGATAAAACACACCCCAATAAGCTTCTACATGTGAAGCATTTCTTAGCAAACTTCGGTGACTTTGAGCGTATATATCTATCCCTTTATCTAGCTGCATGCAGACGTTGGGGTGCTCTCGTGGTCGCCTTCTTAACTTGGCGTGAGCCAAAATTAGCATGGGAGGGTAAGATGGTTTGACGAATATGAAGCGCTGGTCAAGACATGAATAATGTCACAATCCCGTCGCGTACGTTGTCAAACACTTCACGCCAGACAGTGGCACATACCCACGGGTGGGTATGTGCCGCTCGTATGCGGGTATGTGCCACAGATGATTAACATTTAGTATCTACCCAGGAACGACAAGAACACACACGGGCAATTTTAACGCGTGAGCGTCAAGCAATACCCGACATTGGTAGCGCCGACCCAACGAAGGCACAGAACAAATGTCCGTGTTAAGAAAAAGCTAACATAGGCTGCGCTGACCCGCGACGAATGCAAATAAGTCTCAGAGTCGCAGCAGGAATCAAACCCAAGCATTCTGCGTGGCACTCAAGCATTCTACCAGAGAGCTACCCCAGGCCCCGGAACTATTTTTCAAATAGGCGCTAATCTTCGTTAAACATCAATTGTGGTTGGGGTGCTGCCTACCCAATTTGATAAACATTACATATTTACGCCTTTGATATAGCTGTTATGTTAGGTTAACGTCAGTTGTGGTTAGGTGTCATGCGCTGTAACAGTGATTTATGTAGCAGGGTCCCGGTCCAGCAACATCACGAGCACCAGCGCTTCATATCAGCTTCTGGTGTTACTAATACGCATGTTTCAGTTAACATCGTTGCGCAAGTACAAACAACTCGTTATATAAACATCTGCAACTCTTCAAAATATGTCTGTGCGTGTAACATTTGTACATATATTTAGCGCCACTTCATGACGTGTCACACAATAAATAAAATTGAAACACTATCACCTTTCCTCCGTCGATTCCCAGGTACGTGGGATCTACCGTCATTTTTGTCGGAAGCAAACAAACGTATCTAGACGAAGAATGACAAAACTTTTGAGATACTGAAGATATTTTGTAAAATTGGAAGAAAATTAGTATATTATATTATGTTTTCAAGTGGCCCTTTTTGTGCACATGTGTTTGCTACTACGTTATGAAGGTCTATAACAAATTTGGGAGTGAATCGAGGTATCTCAAGATACAACGGGCAAGTATCGTAACAAATACAATAGTTGGATTAGTATTTTGTGCCTCTATTTTCAATATTTATTGCCAGTATTTTGTGTCATTCCACAGTACAATTTCAAAGTATCTTTGCCCAGACCTGGCTGACACCATCTCGTTTATACATTATGTGCCAGGAATGGCCACGCAACTCTTGTCTGGTCCCAGAAATGACCCATAGTGGCAAAACATGACCCTGCATGTTTCACTGCAAGTATCGTCGAAACACAATAGTCTTGCGTGTGGAGAGAGTGAACAGAACGTTCATTTATTGTTCTGCGTGAGAAAATTGCTGAATTGTATAGTGAAAGCGCTGCGTTAGTCTCGATCTGTGCAGCGAAGGTGAACGAGCGCATCGAGGCATGTAAGACAAGAGCGCTATCTGGAAGTTACCTTCGAAAACGAAGGAAAGCGTGCGCGCCCACGGAAAAAGATGCGCGCCTGTCTCGGAGGCGATAAGTTGTAGAGTGCAAAGCGACAGGCAGGTGCCACAACCGTGCCATCTTAGCAAAGCGTTGGAAATACTTGCCTTTTTGAGCATCACGTTGCATTGTCAGCGCTGCAGGATAAAGGCTGTGGTCTTTAGAATTACTTCTGTATTCCTTTACTACCTTATAAATACACACATACAAAATATTTGCGTGTTCTTATGGTGCCTCAAATATGCGCAGTAATTGCTTTTTTAATTTACAATCGCACAAATATGAACGCTGAAACTTGAGCAATATTGGTGGGCGCTAGGGATGGGTTTGGCCGTTTGGGGTATCGCTTAGCGCAGTTTGAGGTATAAGGTTACGGCGGACAAACAGACAAATGTACAGACAGGCAGAAGAACAATTTTTTTTCGTTGAAGTACCCTAAAAAAGCCTATCGTTTTCAAAAGACCACAACGCCTTTGTTACGGGGATCTGTCCAGAGCTACTTGGTTAGCCTGCAATCCCATGTGTTTCGTGCAGCAGGGCAGCTATAGACACAGAACCTTATAAACAACATTGTCGTCTTTTTCCATCAGGTGTTAAGAGCTCGTGCACTAGTGGCATTTTAACGTATGTGATGTTATATACGTATAAAAAGGATCATATACGTAAGAGTCTTAGATGATCGAGTGGACATTGAGGGGGCCCTGCAGCACCTGCGGGACTGTTTTGGCCGAGCAATGGTCCACGATGGTTGATCAGAAATGTTCCTTATTATAAACTGACGCTCGCTCTTTTTTGTCCTCAACTTCATCTTTCGATTCGCTCGCAGAACTTGTGCACCATTAGTCCGGCCTCCGATGCAATAATTGCGATTGGTGAGAGAATGACTAAAGGAAAAGAGAAAAATCTGCAGGGAAAGAAATGGTAACAAAAATTCTTCATCAGTGGAGTCATTCGGAAGGTCGGATTTGAATCAGCGTACCCGTGATCCAAACAAACGTCCTGACGAGGTAAATTGTCAAATGAATTTTAAGCACATGCGAGCATCTTGCCTGGTTGCTGAACGTGTCCATCGTAAGATTATGTCAATTTTTTAGTGACGTACTTCAGTACTATTAGGTAGTCTTATGTTTCAACTCTTCTGACCAATAAGACGTTGTTGGCGCTGCAAAAGACTCCGCTAAGTGCCATTGTGGTCTTATTTCGTAGCGTCTTGCAGTGAACCTACGCCACTTTAAGCGTCTTCTTTTTTTTTGGGGGGGGGGGGGGGGAGGGGATAGGCTTACGCCTATCTTTGTTAGATGTCACTGAATTGCAAGAAAATGGCTTCGACAGCCGGCCATGAGAAAATAAGACACGAAAAATATACACAACACCAAAAAGTTTGTAAATAAAATTATGAAAGACTACAAAATGCCTGTAACAAATAGACAACCCAAAAATCACGTATGTCTGCAGGTATCCCATACTAAAGAGGCGATTAGACGGTAGCAATGACAAAGGCATCATGCTCAAAGTGTGAACGTGCAGGAAATAATATTTTGAGAAATGTAGCGGTTACTAGGAGCTAATTATTTTCATAGAGTGCGACACTATACTGTACAGCCTTGAGAATTAGTGCCAGTGTGTTTTGGGCACAAACAGGATACCAACCCACCTGATGCAAAGAGATGCCTACCTATACTGTTCCGAGAATGCAAAAAAGGACTTACGGATGCCATACGTTTTCCTAGAATTGGCGCTCCTATTTCTTCGCTGTTATATCAATGAAGGAAATACTTCCCATTTAGCTTAGTTCATAATCGTTTACAACTGTGATACGGATGGCTCCGCATGTGCTGGTGGTGGTGCATGATTGTGGGCGGACTTCGGCGAAATTCCCGGTAATGCTTCTGCGGCTAACAAACAAAAGATTCATATGCCACTGAATGGCGTACCTACAAAGATCCGGCAGAACATTTACCTAGTGTGGCCTTGTAAACTGGAACCATCTGGCACTTGTCCAGTTCCTGCATGCTTGTGCGCTGCAATAACATTGAACTCCCTAACTAAATCACGCGAAGGGAAAGTCCCGAAATATTACGAGCAAATGCATAAAAATAAAAAAAACAGCGGTCTCTTTTTTTACAAGGATCAAACAGCAGCAGTATTTCCACTGACCAAATTTTGTAAGATTGCCAAGAAATTTGCTTTCGAGAACAATACCCCGAACATTTTGACAGGTGATCCATACCAAGAAAATGCGTTTTATGTTGTTCGCTCACCGATCATTTTTATTCCTATGGACCTGGTCTCTTTGCCAAAGCCATCGTAACCATGAAAAGCACCACGGTTTACTGTCGATCTCCGCATCCTTTTTCACTTCTTAGAGGCGGACAACTTTATCGGGGGTGACGAGCCAAGATTTCCATGAAACGCTGCCGTTTTTAACCTGAGCGCATGTTCGGAGGATCAAATTGGGGTTCTCTTAGTCTTTATAATGTCTATCTGCTTCGCCGCGCCTCTTGCACGGCGAGTGCGAAATTTATCAAAGCGAGGTGAGCACTTATCTCCGTAGCAGTGTGTACTAAGGTGACGACTAAGCCGGCCCCTCGCCATTTGCAGAAAGGAACGCTCGCGTCTGGGTGCAGTGATTCGTTTCCTTTCACTCACCCTCTAAAAGCGGCTGGAAAAGCCTAGTGACGTGTCGCTACGCGTATGCTTATGCGCGCGTTGCCTTTGGGCTCGCTTCCAAAACTGACGGCGTTGTTAACCGTTCTTCCGCGTCAGCTAACTTCGCAATGCCCGGTCCATCTTCTCTCGCGCCGCTCCCACGTGTCTGCCGAGGTCCGGCCATTTGCGTGCCTCGCTCGCCGCACGCGAGTTACGTATGTGCCCTGTCCCCGGGGCAAAACCGTTTCTCTTGGGCCACCAGGGGCATTCCTGCGAGAGGATCCGTTCCAGGGACCGCGGCCTACACTTGTTGCAAGGGCAGGTCCGATGAAGGGAGAGGGGCCCTGTTCAAGGGGTACAGCCACCACCGCCCCCAACGAGGTGGCTTGCATTTTCGAGGATCCGTAATTAAATGGGCGTACTGCCACCGGCGTCATTTGTCGTCGGCTCGTGGTCGTCGCGACCTTGAGACTGACAGCCAGAGCGCGTCTCCGCTCGGCGGTTCGTTTAAAAAGCCACCAACCGGCATGGCTGAGATCACTGCCGTCTCGCACAGCGACTCAGTTCGAGTCTCGAGATTCCCCGCAGAGGTGAGTCTGAGCCGATCGCTCTCTTGGCTTGCTAGCGACGGTGTGTGGGTCTTCATTCGGAACCGCGTCTCTGGATTGCGGGCGTTTCTGCATAATGTTGGATATGGGCGCTGGGTGAAAATATATGTGCCGGCCTTCCTTCATCGATCATACTTCGCGGTCACTTTCCTACAGCATCCATACTCAATTCACTAAGCAGCCTCTTGTCCTTAGTTCCGTTAATTTTGAATAGACAACGCGCTTGTTTTCGAGACAAGTTTTGACACTTTGGAGATCACTCATATTGAAGCTCGCTTGGTTCGTTGTCCGAGTAATGTAATCATCTGAGAGGTGCTTCGTATCACATGATTGAGTGGCCGTTCTGGAGAGAGCATTTCTACGCAAGGAGCCAACGGAGATATCACGCTAATGGGCAGGTTAGTGTAGAATATCTTAGCACTTCTTGTTGAATGCATGAACGCTAATAATAATTAAGTCTTTGTATCTTTATCTTCACTCATCCTCCAGTATCTGAGCAACTTTATTTATGGGTAGAGCAGAGACGTCGATGGTTATTACTTCATTCTTACTGGTATGTCTTATAACTGGTAGATTCACGACGTAATACTGCGATAAACTTTGCTTACCTGCGCATGCCATGTATCGGTAACTGCTTGTAGAGCCTTTCTCATTCTTGACGTCAGCTCTAAGAACAATTTGATGAAGTTAGAGCACAAGGGGAATAACAATGCACATGAATCCAGTGTTTTCTCTTTTTTTTTGCAACTTGGCGCCCATCGCCGTATATTATATGCCATAATTCTTGGATGGTGACAATGCCAAGCAGAAATGTGATTTTATGTTTGCTGTGAAAGCCACTAGGCTGGGCGTATACATGAGTAGTGCGAAATTGGTTACTTATACATCGCGGTACTAGATTTTCCACTCAGTCAACGTAAAATAATCGACAAGTTTGCGAGAACTGTTGCGATTGTAGATGTTTTTGACTCACATTGCACTTGCAGCAGGTGGTGAAAGGGGTTTCTATTTGTAAGTGGGGCCATTATTCTTGAGTTTGTTGAATCTATCTTTCTTTCTAGTTGGTATAAATGCTGTAACTAGCAGTGCGAAACGTTATCTATTACTTCTTCCTTGTGAGTAAGTAACTACCGATGCTCTCTTATATGCAGAGGGGGTTAATTCACAGATAAAGTTATGTACAGAGCTTCGGGATCGGCTGAAGATTGAGGGGAGACAAAGACTAAATAGGGTGATGGTACAGAAATAAAAATGAAGCGATAACATTTGGTACGCTTTCTTGAGGAAGCATAAATTTTTTAAAAAAGATAAATAATATTTCAAGCTAAATTGTGCGCAGCTGCTGCTGAAGAGGTTGGACAATCTTCCATGTTCTATTGTTAGAGAGCAAGCTCCTCCCCACAAATTAAAGATGATAGATATTCGTAATATTGTGTACTGGTAAACATTTCAGTACGCAATACTCAATATATCATCGAAAGGTATTGTGCTAGTGATTTTTCGAATTTCTCCATTCAAGACTAATGAAGCATATATGCGTGGAGAGACGCTCGTGAATGCACCCGACGGATGCAGACATATGAAATAATAAAACATTGCTGATCCCTTTACCCACTGTGAAAGTTTATGTATCATGCAGCTTTCACTCAAGCCACTGCGCAATAAGTTCAATGCTATCTGCTTATCAAATGCAAGCTAAATATTGGAATTGATGGCTAAACGTGTGTTTGACTTAATATGCTACTAATATGTCCTGTTTGATGCAAGGTTTCATTCGTTGCCGGCGCAGGCTATAGCACAATGAACAGGCTTGTGGTAGCTCTTTTTGCCGCGGTGGCGCTGGTCGTCGTCGACCAGGCCAACGCCGGCTACCTGCTCGGAGGCACCGGTGGTTACGGAGGCTTCGGTGGATTCGGCGGATCTGGCGGCTACCGTGGCTACGGAAGTGGTGGCTACGGCAGTGGTGGCTACGGAAGTGGTGGCTACGGAGGAGGCTATGGTGGTGGTCTCGGTAGCTACGGCGGCGGCTACAGGGGAGGTTACGGCAGCGGTGGTTACGGCGGTGGTCTCGGAAGCTACGGTGGTGGTCTGGGAGGCTATGGCGGTGGTCTCGGAGGAGGCTATGGTGGCGGTCTTCGAGGAGGCTATGGAGGTAGTGGTTATGGAGGTTATGGCACGAACTACGGAAGCGGTTACTCCAGCGGCTACGGAAGCAGCTACGGCAGCGGCTACGGAAGTGGCTTCGGGTGAGCTTCCATATCGCCTACATCCTAAACAACGCCGAACTTTTGTTCAACACTCTGAAATGCCACTACTAGCGTTTGCTCACCGCATGCTATTCTGTACATATGTGATATAGCAATGCGGTCATGTCAGCCGAAACAGAAGCGTCTTCATTTGTATTATAACGGTTCTGAAGACCACTTGAACTTAAGGTTTATCTACTTGGCAGATTCTACTTATTAAGGGACATTTAAGTTGTGGAAAAATCATTTTTGGAAAAGTTGTGGGTGTCATGTCGAGGAGGACGTGTGGAGATGAGTTCATCAATATTATCCATAGAATACGAATAAACTTCGTCAGCAAAACTTTCAACTTGTAACTTAACCTGGCAAATATTCTTCATTATCCGGGCGTGCACAAATGATACCTTAAACGGTTGCGAATGTAGGATACCACATTCTCTAAAGTTAGGCATTTCTGAATATTTTTTAATAGAATTCATATATAACAAGTCTCATAAAATATTTTTTTCGTAGGAATACATGTATAGAGATGTAGTAAAACATATCTAGTTTCAAATAGTTTTATAAAAGCCAGAGGGCTTTCCTACTTAAGAATGAAAGCTTTTTATTCAAAATATTTAAAATGTACTCGGGCACACACGTAATGGGTAGGAAACAAGAATACACACTTCGACAGGGACTTGTTTTGTGCATGTATAGTGAGTGGGATTTTTCGGCAAATAATAAGTAAAGAAAAAAATAACGGTGGCTGCCTATATCGCCTCAAGACTGTCTCTGTAACCAAAATACGAAATAGCATTTCAAGTCTTCAATATTGCACTATCACAAGTGTGGTGATGTAGATTTTTTCATGACTGTTGTAATTTATTGACGTGTAAGTAGTTTATTGAATGCCACGTGGGCGCATGCCAACAAAATCACAATATAACTCAGTGTTTTGTTAATCTCGTCCCTGGCTATTTATTTTTAGCCGCACTATTTACGCAGCATACGACGATTTTGTGTACTCACGCATGTTGGTAGAGCGACCTCTCTTGTTCTATGAGCCCTGCCGCTACCATAGGTGCACGAAGATCAAAAGACGATTTTTATTAAACATCTTTAGCAGCAAATTGTCATAACGATTGCCGCTGGCGTCCCACGCAGCAGAGGTGGCTTCGGCGGTGGCAAGTTCGGAGGTGGCAAGTTCGGAGGAGGAAAATTCGGTGGATGGTGGTGAAGCAAGCACACTGCCAAAGAATCGTGGAAGAATCGGAAGCCTCAACGGTGTGAACGACACGAGTGAAGTGAACTAGTGCGAGTGGTTTGACCAATAAATGTAACTGTTTCTACTGCATACGTACTTCTTTGTACTCTATCGATCTTTTCTTTTCTGATGTGCACAACAAATAACGAGTACAATGAGAGTATCTCTACAAAGGAAGGATTGTTTAGCTTTGTTGAAGAAAAAAAAATTGATGTCTAACCGGAAGTACCAGCAAGAGCAGCAGGGGGCCCTCATAAGAACAGGGTAGACATGTCATGTCTCGAACCGGGGAGTGTGATGAGCGGTAGGCCTGTTCATCCACGACCTCGCCGATCTACTATAGACCATCCGGAACGTTGATACAGTGGCCAGTGTCCAAGGACTCAACGCCATCTCCTCGGCTGGGATACAATTGGTTCCGTTCCCACTCGACACTGCCGGGCACATTAACAATGCCGGACACAAAGCTTTAACTCACTTGAATCGAAAGCGTAACGCGCGCAGACATTCATGCTTTCAAGTATAACATCCGCGTGTTCACTATACTAATAACAGATGGTGCTGTAAGCAGTGCTACCGAAATAATTGGGCCTTTTTTTAACTGTACGCTGTGCCGTGTTCTGAAGCAAGACCATCTTGTAGTTCACATCAGGTGAGCGATCACGATTCAGCGATAACTGTGACTGCTTGTATGTCTTAAAAAAGAAAAAAAAACAAGACTGCTACATAATTCATGTAATTTCAAAGCTACACGACGTTTCTATAATATTTTGTGCCGCTAAGGAGTGGTATCGATGTGCCATATATCTAAGGGGAACATCGTAAATAAAGTTGTTACATACGTACACATACACATGCAGGAAGATGTTTGATAAGGTCAAAAGAAACACTCCTCAAACACGGTTTTGAACGGTTTCGGTGTTGCTTCCGCCTTCGAGCGAGAACGCAGCCTTTCAAGACGGATAAAACCAATAACATTTGTTTGCATGCCCTAATGTTATGTAACAAAGCAGCGTGCTATATGCAGCTACATGCACTAAAGGTGAACTAAGTTTTCTTCACGAGTACGTATTGTTTTTTGTTGAGGCCATCCACACAGAATATTATTGAAGTACTGAAGTGCATACTAAATGCTATTCAACTTAATTCAAAACCATCTCTTAAACATCGACACGGCAGTGACAAAACGAGTAATTCGATGGATGATGCTCATCGCGGGAAAATTGCAGACCTATGTACAGAAATGTGCGGCCTATACGAAACCAATACATGTAATCATTGCGCTCTCTACGGGTCCACGTGCCATTTACCCATTCTGAGAAAAATTGCCATGAATTTTTCGATAGCAAGTTTCGCACTTTAACCTATATTACGGATAATTTACGGATTTTGAATACCTTCTACCGAAAACGAGAAAACCGCAAGTGGACATGGAGGAGCCCTAATGGCGAAAATAAGAACGAAATAGACTTTATAATGAGTGCGCACCCTGGAATCGTGCAGGATTTGGAAGTGGTTGGCAAGGTACGATGCAGTGACCATAGGATGGTACGGTCTCGAATTCGCCTAGACTTGAAGAAGGAACGACAGAAACTGATACGCAAGAAGCCAATCAATCAGCTAGCACTGAGAGGGAAAGTACAGGAATTCAGAGTGTCGCTGCAGAACAGGTACTCGGCTCTTAGTGAGAAAACCAACCTTAGCGTAGATACAATGAATGATAATCTGACGAGTATCATTACGGAGTGTGCAGTGGAAGTTGGAGGCAGGGTAGTTAGACAGGACACTGGCAAGCTTTCCCAGGAAACGAAGAACCTAATTAAGAAGCGTCAAATCATGAAAGTGTCAAGTACAACAGAAAAAATAGAACTGGCAGAGCTTTTGAAGTTGATTAATAGACGTAAGGTATGCGATGTAAGAAGGTATAACATGGAGAGAATTGAACACGCTCTGAAAAACGGAGGAAGTGTCAAAGCATTGAAGAGGAAACTTGGGATATGCAAAAGTCGGATGTATGCACTAAGGGACAAAGAAGGCAAAATAACTACCAATATGGATAGCGTAGTTAAAATAGCGGAGGAGTTTTACAGAGATCTGTACAGTAGCCAAGACAACCACGACCTTAATACTATAAGAACTAGCAGTAACCCAGATTACACCCCACCAGTAATGATAGAAGAAGTTCGAAAAGCTTTGGAGAGCATGCAAAGGGGCAAAGCTGCTGGTGAGGATCAGGTAACATCAGATCTGCTGAAAGATGGAGGACAGATTGTGTTAGAAAAACTAGCCACCCTGTTTACGAGGTGTCTCCTGACGGGAAGAGTACCAGAGTCTTGGGAGAACGCTAACATCATCTTAATACATAAGAAAGGAGATGACAAGGACTTGAAGAATTACAGGCCGATCAGCTTGCTCTCTGTAGTATACAAGCTATTTACAAAGGTAATTGCTAACAGAGTAAAGAAAAAATTAGAATTCAATCAACCAAAGGAACAAGCAGGATTTCGAACAGGCTACTCAACAATTGACCACATTCATACTATCAATCAGGTAATAGAGAAATGCTCAGAGTATAACCAACCCCTATACATAGCCTTCATAGATTACGAGAAGGCGTTTGATTTAGTAGAAATATCAGCCGTCATGCAAACACTGCGGAATCAGGGCGTAGATGATGTATATATAAACATTCTGGAAGAAATCTACAGGGGATCAACTGCTACCATAGTGCTTCATAGAGAAAGCAACAGAATACCAATCAAGAAGGGTGTAAGGCAGGGGGACACAATTTCCCCAATGCTATTTACCGCGTGCTTACAGGAGGTTTTCAGAAGCCTAGAATGGGAACAGTTAGGGATAAGAGTCAATGGAGAATACCTTAGTAACCTGCGCTTCACCGATGACATTGCATTGCTGAGTAACTCGGGGGACGAATTGCAACTCATGATTACGGAATTAGACAAGGAGAGCAGAAAGATGGGTCTTAAAATTAACCTATATATAGGTGAATTCATATCACCGCTATGTTTCAGCCAAACGTGGCCCTGAATAAAATTATGAGTGGTATGGACAGGCGGAGAGAGGCTTATGTTTTGCGAACTGTAAGTGATGTGCCGCTGCAAGTAAGGAGGAGATGTACACTATATCATTAAAAACAAGAATTTTTAAATGAGAAGCCTGACAAGCTTTATTTTACTGAAACAGGTGGTTTTTGCTGGTTGGTTTTAATCAGACGCAGTCATAAAAGGCGCGTGCTGATTCAATTACTTCTATCAAAATACACCTCGTGTTCATATAAAGAAAAACGAGGAAGCCTTCAAGGTGCTGTAGAGAACTATGGTCGTACGTTACGAATTCGTCTGTTACGCAGGCACTCTCGAATATGTTCGCGTTTCGCTACACTGTGTGCTCTCGCAGTTTCTGTAGCTGGACGTTTACGCTTTCTTTGCTTCCACTTTGAAGGTGTCATACAATGCGAGTGGACATGCTGATTTCAATGTTATTCGAATGAAAGGACAAAGAATAAGCATGGACATCGCCGCTATTCATACTTCATCGATGACGTAAGGGACAACTGCGTGTTATAGCTCCAAACAGGGTAGTACGCAAATAAACAATTTTCTGTGTCATTATTGTGATGATACCACGTGTTCACGTCCGAAATGCGATATGATTAGGAGAAACGTCGTTGTGGAGGGCAATGTAAATTTCGATCATCTGGTGTTGTTAACGCACAGCACACGAGCCTCCAGCACTACCCCTCCGCCGAACGGCGACCACCACAGCTGGACTGTGACGCTATACGTAAGTCTTTCTGTAACTCGTGATCAGCTATTTGATAAATAATTATTTATTATTAATTTATATCATTTATTTATATGTTAATTCATTGGTTGATTTCTTGTTATTGTGGTCTGCGCCACAATGACTTCGATCGTCCAGCCCCTTGGCGTTAAGTAAAAGTTCGCAACGTGGAAAGACAACACCTTTCTAATAAACTAAACAGGTTAGATGACCAGCCGCTGTCAGAAGAAAGGATACTGCGCCATCGTCATGACTCATCGTCACAGAAGAAAGCCGTGCAAGCGCTACTGGGCTTCTTACGAACTACTGGCCTGTCGGAACGCCTCTGAGTGGACTGATTTTGTGTGTGCGTGTGTGTTGGTGTTTTTCTCTTATTTATTTTTTTTAACTCTCCCTTTCTCTTTCAACCCCCTATTCCCCAACCCCAGTGTAGGGTAGCATACCGGATACTAGCATCTGGTTAACCTCCCTGCCTTCCTCTTTCCTCGTTTCTCTCTCTTCGCAACGTGAGGTCTATTGCGTTCGCGCCTGGGTCCCAACGTTAAATCTTTCCTGCGATCGTGAAACAATTCCAGAATGTGAAGTTCATTAGCTATTCCGGAAGCTTGTTTCTTCTTCCTTAATTGTAAATTTAGCTGTAATAAAACTCTATGTACGTTTCCCCAAAGTAATCTGGATTTTTTTCCCCTGTCGGCCTGCTAGAAATAATTAAAAGAAAAAAAAAGAGGGGGGGGGGGCAGGTGGAGAGAAGTGGGAGTGTCATGGCTCAACTGTTAAGTGAATGTCGTTTCTCGTGATCGCGGGCGAGTTTTCCCTGCGCAAGAGTTCTCACGCAAGAGCTTCTCACAGTGAGTCACGGAATTTTCTTTGACACTCGTATATACCAACAACATTACACTAAGTGTTTCAGCGCACATAGTTCGGATGAATGTGCTTTTTTGTTGGCACAATCATTGCTGGCTGCACCTTCTGTGATAGTCTTTCTTCATTGTTTTCAGACAACAGCAAAACTGCCGTTCTGCTGTTGGCTGAAATGAGTAACAATAATATTAAACTTAAGACAGATGGTCACGCTACATTATATCGATCACCGCTCGGCATTAAGGGGTGCTCAACATAACTGATAGAAGATGACAAACACTGAAAAGCATATGGCGCGAGGGTTGCTATGCTAGTCAAATACAATTGCAGGTATGGATGACTGAGATAGTAGTGCCCATTTTCGGAGACTATGCTATGTTTGACAGGAAAACAAATCAAGAAGGCCGTCTACCCAGATATCATTGATGTG